TCACAGGTCTCACTTTGAAATCGAGATGTGGATGGGCCTGTAATGTGATGAAAAGAGGTGGAAACGCATAGACAAGGAGAAGAGAAGAGAAGAGAGAAGTGCAAGAGATTCCAATCATTAGCATGCAGGCGCCTTCTAAAGAGGCCAGCTATATAGTATTACAGGACAGAGAGGCTTACGTCCACCAACAACATTCGCAATTGGGGACGATTTAAACGGTGGAACGCGACGATCACGGAATTATGCCTCAGACACTTCACTTAAAACAGGCAAGAACCATGGACGATAATGGGACCAGAAAGATAGGAATGGAAAATGCAATACAACTTCACTACACATGAAGGCAGACCGTCAGCGTAACCAGAGAGGTAATACAGCCTAAAGTGTGCAAATGGTAGAACCTCATGATAAACTGAGAGCTGTACATGTTCAGAGATACCAATTTGAGGACTGACCAGAACCTTGTGGTTCAGAGTGACAGATGATAAAGAAACTAAAAAGCGACAACTGCCACGACCGACTTTCTATTAACCTCGGCATTGATCAAGTGATTTTCTTCGTATTTTTGTTGAGCGAACGCGAGGTGTTACTATTCTTTGTTCACGATTAAGCTGACGTTTCGGCGGATTTCGCCTTCTTCAGAGCCTGGAAAGGTCAAGTTGATAGCAATCCACTCGGCCAGACGCCTCCATAACCAAACAAAGAAACTCCAAACCAAGATTTCAATCACTTTAAACACAGCTTTGCACACTCACCGCTTTCTATGAGGTTTCCACTAAGTATGTCACGTAGAGACCAACCGCACAGAAATCACGTGGAGCAACAACCGTGAACCGTTAACATGGTTTTTAACCCTAATATTTAAGCAGTTGTTGAAACACATTCCAGCCCATCTTACGAATACCCAGATGTTTCTGGATCGTCTACGTACTGCGCAGCCCAACAGCGCGTGCGTGATGGAGTCCTTCGACGTTACCTCCCTTTATACAAACGTGTCGAATGACTCCGCAATGCAAGCCTTATTCGAACTCCTTATACAACACGAAGGAGAAATAAACATGTATGGCCTCAAGATAGAGCACTTGACGGCCCTCTTAAAAAAATGCTTGAACTGTTCACTCTTCAGATGGTCCGGAAAGTACTACGCTCAAATAAGAGGGTTGGCAATGCGACAAAACTGGCACCAAGTCTTGCCATTGCGTTTATGTCTAAGATGGAAGCACCGGTGATTGATCTCGAGCTGCTACTCTACTGTAGATATGTAAATGACTGCTTTGTCCTTTGCTCAACACAAGAGGAAATGGACAAATGTTTCGAGTTGTTGAATAAACAGTCAGAGTATTTCAAGTTCACCCGAGAGAAACCGAAAGAAAAATGGCTTCCATTCCTGAACGTCCAAATAACCTGTCAGAAAATGGCTACAGTACGAAATGGTACCGAAAACAAAGTAGTGAAAGCATCTTGGTTCATTACCTCTCCTCTCACCCCTCTCACACGAAAAGGGCGCTTATAAGAAACATGTTTCGAACAGCAACCAACGTGTGCATGGAAAAAAAAAGAGAGCAGAGAAAAGAGTCCCGGAACTTGGCGCGGCAAATAGCCATTTCTAATGGCTACGAAACTGTAGCTCAGGATAGGTGTAGGGAAAATCCGAGGCTCCCAAACGACAAATCTATCGATAAAAAGGTCCCGTTTATCCTACCCTTCATCTCAAATGATATAAGTACAGCTATCAAACGCTGCTTAAGAAGGGCGGGCTTAGAGAATTCGGTGAGCGTAGTTGAAATACCACCGAGTAATCTTAAGCGCCAGC